TTGATGGCTCTCTTGTGTCCATATGCAAGCTCTGAGGCTAGGGTTGGAAACCTTTTTGCTCTCTTTGCCACTGCCATCTTGGTGGGATCGATGGGAATTGTAGTCCAAAACATCTGGAAGGGCAGAGACTTTGCGTTCCCAACTTTAGACAACTTTGTGAAGCAGAGGGTAGCTTTTCGGTTGATTCAGGACAACAATTCCCATCAGTCCTTGCTGGTGAAGGGCAATGGGAGTTGCAATCCAAGGCACCTCCCTGCTCATCCCTGCACCTTTCTCAAACATACGTGTTGGTTCAGAGAGTAGCATTAACAAAACAAACAAACAAACACAAAACCAAAAAAATAACACATACACACACACACAAAAATCCACTCCTGATTCTGATTCTGTGGTTTTAGCAATTTATATGTAACTAGCTGTACCCGCCATGCATTGCTGTGGCCAACCTTCCCTCCCTCTTTCTCTCCTTCTTCCTTTCTCTCCTTCCTTCCCTCCCTCCCTCTTTCCTTCCTTCCCTCTTTTTCCTTCCCTTCTTCTTTCTTCTCTACTTGTTTCTTTCCTTGCTTCCTTTGCTCTTTGGTTCCATCCTTCCTTCTCTTTTTCCTTCCCTCCCTCCCTCTCTTTCATTCCTTCTCTCCTTCCTTGCCTCTCACTTTCCTTCCTTCTTTCACTTTTTATTTCTTTCTCTCTTTCTTTCCTCTCCTTTCCTCCTTCCTTCCCTCTTTCTCTCCTTCCTTCCTTCCCCCTATTTTGTGTATATGTGTATATATGTGTGTTAGTATATATATGTGGTTTTGCACATAAGTTGTAATGTATTTTTATTTTTTGGCTTTTTAAGTCCCTTCCACTGTGTTTTCTAGTGTTTTTATGAGTGACGGTCACTCTTTGGCCTGATAGTTGTCTTGTGTCCAAATTTGGTGTCGGGCATATTGAGTATTCCTGTCAAGTTTGGTCCAGATCCATCATTGTTTGAGTCCACAGTGTTCTCTGGATGGAGGTGAACTACAATTCCAAAACCGAAGGTCAATGCCCACCCAACACTTTCAGTATTTTCTGTTGGTCATGGGAGTTCTGTGTGCCAAGTTTGGTTCAATTCCATTGTTGGTGGAGTTCAGAATGCTCTTTGATTGTAGATGAACTATAAATTCCAGCAACTACAACTCCCAATTGACAAAATCATAATTCTTTGAGTGATGGTCACTCCTTGTGTTGTGAGACGTTTTGTTGCCAAATTTGGTGTGATTTTGTTCATTGGTTGTTTTGTTTTTAAGGTACTCATTATGCACAGAGCATTTTTTATATATATATAATTTTATTTTATATTTTATTGTTGTGTTCTCATGTTGTACATTTGCATTGTTGTACTGCTGGGCTTGGCCTCATGTAAGCCGCCCCGAGTCCCCTTGGGGAGATGGTGGCGGGGTATAAATAAATTATTATTATTATTATTATTATTATTATTATTATTATTATTAACACAACAAGATGAGTCCACAGCAGACAGTCTGCTGGCTGTTGAATTGGATCACACGTCGGACACTTCCCAAGTGTCTATTATTATTATTATTATTATTATTATTATTATTATTATTATTATTATTATTATTATTATGTGAGCCAGCCTCATCTATTGAAATGGCCATCATCCTCAAGCACCCATTGTTTACTTTGGACTAACCTCATTGGGAAATGAGTCCATGATGGGCTCAATGGGCTGACTCTGTTCCCACCAGAGTCATCCCACTTAGCCCATCATGGACTCATTTCCCAATGCCGCACCACATTTATTTTGGATCGTGCCCCTCTTGGAAGCAGATACATAAACACACTGGCATTTCAAATGCTCCAATGACAGTTTCTTGAATTTCCCACCACTGCGAAGAACCAACCAGCAATGAAGTCTGACGCTCGGAGCGTGGGTCTAAGCCAGGTTGCTTTTCAGCCAACTAAGAGCTGGCACAAGTGTCTAGAATATTTATTAATTTATTTTTGGCCATGTCCAGTGTGATCATTTATGTTTTAATGTTTGACTTTATGCTGCTGTGTAACTTATTTATATAAATAAATAATTTTTTAATATACAAAAAAAGCCAATAGGATTTTGGCCTGCATCAATAGGAGCCTAGTGTCTAGATCTAGGGAAGTTATGCTCCCCATGCTCTATTCCGCTTTGGTTAGACCACACCTGGAATATTGTGTCCAATTCTGGGCACCACAATTCAAAAGAGATATTGACAAGCTGGAATGTGTCCAGAGGAGGGTGACTAAAATGATCAAGGGTCTGGAGAACAAGCCCTATGAGGAGCGGCTTAAGGAGCTGGGCATGTTTAGCCTGAAAAAGAGAAGGATGAGAGGAGATATGATAGCCATGTATAAATATGTGAGAGGAAGCCACAGGGAGGAGGGAGCAAGCTTGTTTTCTGCTTCCCTGGAGACTAGGACGCAATGGAACAATGGCTTCAAACTACAAGAGAGGAGATTCCATCTGAACACGAGGAAGAGAACCGTTCAGCAGTGGAACTCTCTGCCCCAGAGTGTGGTGGAGGCTGCTTCTTTGGAAGCTTTTAAACAGAGGCTGGGTGGCCATCTGTCAGGGGTGATTTGAATGCAATATTCCTGCTTCTTGGCAGAATGGGGTTGGACTGGATGGCCCATGAGGTCTCTTCCAACTCTTGGATTCTATGATTGTTGTTATTGTTGTGCTCTTTCAAGTCATTTCAGACTTAAGTCAACCCTAAGCAAGGGCCGTGTAAATGACCTTGGAGGGCCATATCCGGTCCTCGGGCCTTAGTTTGAGAACCCCTGCTCTTATGGAAGTCAACATCTATCATTGTTTTGTATGTAGAAGGTTTTTGTTCAGCCTCCAACTAAGGCTGGATGGCCATCTGTCAGGGGTGATTTGAATGCAATATTCCTGCTTCTTGGCAGGGGGTTGGACTGGATGGCCCATGAGGTCTCTTCCAACTCTTTGATTCTAGGATTCTATATTGGTTTTGCATCATATGTAATTTATTTCCTGATTTTCTGTTGTGTTTTTGTGTTTATATTGTGTTTACTGTATTGATGGGCATGGCCTTATGTAAGCCGCCCCGAGTCTCCTTGGGGAAGATGGAGGCGGGGTATAAATAAAGATGATGATGATGATGATGATGATGATGATGATTATTATCCTGTTTAATTAACACGATAGCACTTTATTTCTGCATATACCTTCAGACCGTGAGTTGGGACCATCCATTCCCCAGCATCACTATCTCCAAGGCTGAGTGAATTTCACCTGTTGCCTTTGCGAATGTTAACCTGCTATTAAAGGCATGGGAGCAAAATCAGGACAGGTGAGAGAAAAAAAGTAAAACTGCACTTTTTCCTAGGGTTTACCTCCAAGTAAACCTCGCTTGGATTGTTTATATATAACACAGGATTACTTCTATGCCTTATTTTATTTTGCCCATCGAAATGTGGACCATTGAGGAACAATGAACAGAGGGATTGGGTGGCAAAGCAAGCTCTCCACCTCCCAGCATCCCTTGCCATTGGGACTGCTGGAAGATGCATTCCACAATTTGAATCCAGCTCTATGGGGCACACCTGATGACCCATCCCACCTTCATGTATATAAACCTGGAGTAGCTCTCCATCCAATGAAAGATTTTTTTGTTGGTGATGGAAGAAGTTACGTGCAAATGCTTCCAGCTTTGATAAAGATATTTTAGTGCCTTTGGATATTGTAACTTAAGGGTTTTTAACTGTTTCTTTCCAGGTGTGTCTGTTACAACAGGTAATATTTAATGCTTTTTTTCTCTGGGTTGATATATTACCAGTTTATATGTAATAATTGGCTGTGTTTCCGAAGTATGAGTTGGATGCTGTTATTCAAAAAGAGGAGCAGATTTGGTAAGACTTTGAGAAACAAGGTTTTCAAAGAAAAAGCTGGTAAGATGGTATTCTTGCTATTTCAGCTTGTCCCTTTAGTCATTTGGACTATGCTTTGAATATGGGTACCTTAACTCGATTTTGGGGCTGTGGTGGCACAATGGGTTAAACCACCGAGCTACTGAACTTGCTGACCAGAAGGTTGGTGGATTGAATCCATGAGATGGGGTGAGCTCCTGCTGTTAGGCCCAGCTTCTGCCAACCTAACAGTTCAAAAACATAGAACTGTGAGTAGGTCAATAGGTACTGCCTTGGCAGGAAGGCAATGGCGCTTTATGCAGGCATGTTGGCCACATGACCTAGGACAGTGGTTCTCAACCTTCCTAATGCTGTGACCCCTTAATACAGTTCTTCATGTTGTGGTGACCCCACAACCATAAAATTATTTTTGTTATTTCATAACTGTAATTTTTCTACTATTATGAATTGTAATGTAAATATCTGATATGCAGGATGTATTTTCATTCACTAGGCAAATTTTGGTGCAAATACCCGATACGCCTAAATCTGAATACGGATGGGGTTGGGGGGGAGGGTTGATTTTGTCATTTGGGAGTTGTGGTTGCTGGGATTTATAGTTAACCTATAATCAAAGAGCATTCTGAACTCCACAAACAATGGAATTGAACCAAACTTGGCACACAGAACTCCCATGACCACCAGAAAATACTGGAAGGGTTTGGTGGGCATTGACTTTGAGTTTGGGAGTTCTAGTTTACCTACATCCAGACAGCACTGTGGATTCAAACAATGATGGATCTGGACCAAACTTGGCATGGATACTCAGTATGCCCAAATGTGAACACTGGTGGAGTTTGGGGAAGATAGACCTTGACATTTGAGAGTTGTCATTGCTGGGATTTATAGTTCACCTGTAATCAAAGAGCATTCTGAACCCCACCAACAATAGAATTGGGCCAAACTTCCCCCACAGAAACCCCTTGATCAACATGATATAAATATTCTGTTAAATCCACCAATAAGTTTGTATATTGTTTCCCCCTTAGCCTTTTCCCTTCCAGTGGCCTCACTGTAGCGTAGACTCTTTTAGTGTTGGCAGCTTGAAGGCAAAGGATGAAAGACGAAATTGCCGTCACAGTGTTTTTTATCATGCGCCTGGTGAAGAGGCACAACAAGCTGAGCAGGCAGCAGGTGGAGATGTTTGCGTCCAAGCTGATGACTATCCTGGTTGAGAAGTACAAGAACCACTGGTATCCTGACAACCCTTCAAAAGGGCAAGCCTATAGGTAAGGGCCCCACAAAGATGCCTTCCCTTCAGATCTTCTCCAAAGAAGGACATTCCTAGATATTCAGGGCTCTAAGAGGTCAATGTTAGCACTCCTTGTCTAAGATCTTCTGGAAAATATCCATGGCGTTGTCAACTGGTTGATGGGTGGATGTTTGTTGATATGCCCCATGCCTGTTTGCCTTTTGTCTAATGAACGTTGAACTTGGATGGGTGACTTGTTGGACTTAGGTGGAGGACCTGTATCTAGGGAATGTTGGTTTTGGTTGGTGAGCCTCTCTTTAGTGGACATTGGCTTTAGATGGGGGAGGGACTCTAGCAGCTGTTGTCCTTGGGTGGTGGAATTATTTGTAGTGGACGTTGATTAGGGTGGGGGACCTGTATCCAGCGGATGTTGGCCTTTAGTGATGGACCTGTGTCCAGTGGATGTTGACCTTGGGTGGGGGAACTGTCTCTACAAGGCGTTGGCCTTGAGTAAGGGAGCTGTGTCTAGGGGACATTGGCTTTAGGTAAGGGACCTGTTTGTAGTGGATGTTGGCCTTAGGTAGGGGACCTGTGTCCAATGGATGTTGGACTTGGGTAGTGGCCCTTAGATGAGGGGCCTCTCTCTAGTGTGTGTTGTCCTTAGGTGGTGGTACTGTCTGTAGTGGATGTTGGCCTTCGGTGGAGGAACTCTCTCTACAAGATGTTGGCCTTGAGTAGGGGATCTGTACCTAGGGGCTGTTGACCTTGGGTAGTGGACTTATGTCCAGTGGATATTGGGTGGTAGGTCTTAGATTAGGGGGGTTCTCTCTAGTGATTGTTGTCCTTGGGTGGTGGGTGTTGGCCTTGGGGATGTTGGCCTTGGGGACCTGTGTCCAATGGATATTGGACTTGGTTGGTTGGCCTGTGTCCAGTGGATGTTGGACTTGGGTGATGGGCCTGTCTGTAGCAGACGTTGGCCCTGGGTGGTTGTGGGCCTGTGACTAGTAACCACTGTACAAGGGAAATTATGCAGATCCAGGAAATCTCTCCAAAGCAGCCTCTTCACAGAATGTAACAATTGAACACAGAGGTTATAACAAACTGGCAACCCCCAACAAGCTTTATTGGAAGAACTCCATTTTCTAGACCACCAAATTTAGAAGACCACAAATTCTGTGATGTGAGTGAACCAACCGTCAAATTCCTTTCTGCTTTGTTTAGGTGCATCCGGATTAACAGATTCTCACCAACAGATCCTTTACTGGTTCAGGCCTGCGCAGAGAGCTATGTAGATTTCAACAGCCTTGGTCTTCCAAAGGAGATGACCATCTGGGTTGACCCATTCAATGTATCCTGCAGGTGAGCACTTTCTTGTTCCAGTATGTTAGATGTACTTTTTGATGTACATACAGACGAACTCTTGGGACAGCGTGCAACATCAGCTGATGGTGGCCTAAGTAGAACATGTACATGGGGCTGTTGTACATCAATTGTATCTACTCTTTCTGGAGGCCCCTTCCCACTGTGTTCTTCTTTTTAGATACGGGGAGAACAACCCGCCATTCACAGTAGCTCAGTTTGAAGCAAATGAAGAGGGCCACACCATCTCCCAGCGCATCAGGCAGGCGGTGGATAAGGCCGCTGAATCTGGATCGAACCCTTCTTCTGACGAGGAAAGCTCCGTCTCGGAGCCCAAGAGCATCCCAACTGTTAGTAACCCCAACAGCGTCTACCAGGTAAGAGGAGAAATAGAAGGGCAATTTGCATTTTGGTTTGTAGACTTGCTATGAGGGAAGTCTTGAAACTTGGCCTAAGATGCCCTCTTTTCTGGTCTAGAATAGTCGTGGGTTGAACACAGTTTTGGACTATGTTTTCCATCTAGAGTTCTTTGGAATATAGTTCTTAGAATGCCTTGGTCTTCATGGTCATGTAACCATCCAAGTGAAAGGATTCTGGGAGCTGTAGTTCCAAATCCAAGGAGTCCGACTGAATCCATTATTGATTAGTGTGGGTGGATTCCATTCTTTCTATGAGTCTATTCCAGGCAGTAGCAAAGTCTGGCCCTCCAGGTGTTTTGGACTTCAATCTATTTTAACTTTCTAACTTGGGGGCTGCATGCCGGGCCAGAACCGGGTGGGCAGGTTGGGAGGGAGGGGGTTCTTCCCAAGCTCCCTCCCTGCCCTTTCCTCCGCTTCCTCTACTCTTTCAGAAACAGAAAGTGAAGGAAAGACGGGAAGCATTTGGATCTCGAAAGGGTTTGCATTGGTCAGGATGGGATAGTGGGCTGAAGAGAAAAAGTGTAGCCATTAGATCCTGTCTTGCCTACTCCTGATATAGAATCCTAGAACTGGAAAAAACCCTCAAAGGCCATCCAGTCCAACCCCTCTGCCATGCAAGAAGGCAGAATAAAAGCACTCCCGATAGACGGCCTCTGCAGAAGAGCCTCCAGAGAAGGAGACTCCACCACACTCCCAGGCAGCCTAAACCACTCTCCAACAGCACTTACTCCCAGGAAGTTCTTGAATCCCTTTCCCTGCCATTTGAACCCATTGCTCCTTTGTGCCCTGGTCTCTAGAGCAGCAGAAAGTCAGTTTTCCTCCTCCTCCTCAATGTGATACCCTTTGAAATCTGGAAACATGGTTCACATGTTCCCTCTCTATCTTCTCTTCTCCCAGCTAAACATTCCCCAGGAGGAAAGGAGGAAGCAAAAGGAGAAGGAAGGAAGGAATGTGAGAAGGGAATGGAGGAAGGGAGGAAAGAGAGAAGGAAGGAAAGACCAAACAGGAAGGAAGGAAGGAAGGAAGGAAGGAAGGAAGGAAGGAAGGAAGGAAGGAAGGAAGGAAGGAAGGAAGGAAGGAAGGAAGGAAGGAAGGAAGGAAGGAAGGAAGGGTGAAAGAGAAGGAAGGAGGGAGAGAGAAAAGAGGGAAGGGAGGGAAGGAATAAGGAAAGAGTGAAGGAAGAAAGGGAAGAAGAGAAGGATGGAATAAGGGATGAGTGGAAGGGAATGGAAGGAGGGAGGGAGGAAAGAGAAGGAAAGAAAGACCAAACAAAAGGAAGGAGGGAGAGAAGGGGAAAGAGAGAGGGAAGGAAGGAGGAAAGGAAGGAGGAAAGGAAGGGTGAAAGGGAAGGAAGGAGGGAGAGAGAAAGGGGAGGGAGGGAAGGAAGAATGGAAGGAGGAAGGAAAGGGAAGGAAGGAGAGAGAAGTGAGAGAAGAGGGCCTGAGGAAAGAGCACAAGGGGCCGCATCCAGCCCCTGGGCCCGGATTTGCCCATACTTGCTATAGAGTTATGGGGGTGGTAGTTTGACAAGTTGATACCTCACCAAACTACAAACCCCAGGATTGCACATGGCATTTAAATGAGAGATGACATCCCTCAAAGAGGAGCTCCAGGTGCAGCTCCTGAAGCAGCTTCCCCTTTGGCTCCGCACTAAGATGACTGTAAGACATGGATCTAATGCGCTCCCTAAGTCTGGAAACCCCCCAAAAAGGTGAGCATTAGAGTCAAGTAAACATGGTCCCTCTCAAATCCAGTTCTCCTATAAAGCTTTTTGTGGTTCTGAAATGGGAAGCCAGTTTGGATTGGGTTCTTGCATAAGTGGTGCCGGACTCTCACCCCCTTTCCCCCCATCTCTTGACTCCTGGCCAGTGCGGTGAACCCTTCCAAGCTTGGTCCCAATATGCTCGCCGGAAAGCCCAGGCCCCCGACGGCATCATCCAGAATCCTGCCAGCTCTTACTACTTTCAGTACAAGGCTTACAGGTCTTGCCGGCCGCTGGGCCCTTTCACTGGCCCACGCGTGGACCGGTACCACTGGGTTAATGGCAACCGGTAACGCCGGGACTGTGTCTTCCCCACTTCTTAGTGCCGCATGGAGTGAAGGCGTCTCCGCACAAACGACAGCAAAGAGGCCGGGAAATCCCCCCGAAGAGGAGCCCCTTCCGACGCTTCATGCGGACAGACCTTGCTTCTTCTGTCCCTCGTTCCCTGTTTTATATTCCTACTATTTCCTTTTGTATTTGTGACCTTTTTTAAATATCCACTTGGCCAAGGACACGTTTTTTAGAAATGATGTTTTAAATGTGTGTTTATGACAAAATTGCACTTCACTTTGGAGAACGTAAAAAGGACATTGAATGACTAATAAAATCTGTGTTTTTAAAACAACTGTCTTGACTTCTTGATCAAGGGAAGAAATAACTGCGGTGGAATGAAAATAATGTGTAGTTCACGTCTTCACCAATCCACACACTGTCTTGCTAGAGAAAAGATGTGCCACGCAGATGATCAGTACTCTTTGTTCCGCAGAGCAACATATATGTGAACAGTTGCATTGACTCACACAATGTCCTTTTAGAGAGATTAAAATAGTTCTTAGGTGTCCATCAACCCAGAAGTAGAAAATATAAACTTGTCTTGGCGACCTCCTGCCCAGAAAAACCTAAACATGTAACTGTTGCCAAAACTCCTAGGCTCAGCTAGCTTCTTGAGCATAGCCCAATCAATCAGCTTTGTGCTTTGTATTTTCCAGTTAACACACTCACCAACTGATTTTTACATTCTCCGACAGTTCTTAACATGGCATCGGATTGTGGAGGGAGGATATTTTGGGACAGGGTGATAGATTTTACAATAGGTATTCTATTAGTGGTATTTTGTCAGATCTTTATTTGTCAACTGCTTGGAAAATGCAAACTGGATTACAAGGCTCCATAAATACCATTGTTGCATTTTCATCTGATGTACACTTCATCATAATGCATACTAGCTGCCTAAATTTATTGCATTTTAATACTTTGGCCATCATATTTGCAACAAAAGGAGGGCATGGTTGTGTGGGCCCAGCTTGGGCCTGTGAAGTTGCAAACCAAGGCTCTTAATTCAGTACTTGTGATGGGGCCCGGTTTCTGATATACCCTGACCTGAATTAAAGGGGCCTCCAAGTTCTATAGCTCTCCTCTATCTCATTCCTAGGCAGAGCCTGAAATGTTCCTTTTTGGGGAATACAACTCCTAGAATCCCACCAGAAAAGCAAAACCATGTTTAAAACTTTGTAAGGCTTTTTAAGCTTCACATTCTTGCATTTTCCTTCAGCAAAGAAGGTCCTCTTCCAAGCCAAGTGTCTTAGGTTGATGGAGCAGCTGATCCTCATGAGTTATCTTCTGCAAGACGCCTTCCCCTTTCTTCAGAAGATGATGTGAGAGATGTCTAGAAGGGATAAACAAAAGGTGAATTGGGGGTCCACCTGTAGTTTTTGATGAAAGTGTAGTAGTTGCTTAAAGGCCCTCCCTCCTTATTTTGTCCCTATTCTAACCTCAGAGGGAGAGACAAGCAGCCTGGCATAGATCCACCATGCCTTGGCCTAATGGATGGTGAGAGAACTTCTTTCCATGTTCCAACTGCCAACTTTGGCCTTTGAGGGGGGAGAAGAGCAGCCAGGCACAGCTCCATGATGGCCTGGCCCCAGTGACTCCCAACTCCCATTGGTCAGACCTTTAAGGGGGTGAAGCCCTGCAAAGCACACCTCCATCAGGCCTTGGCCCAGTGAGTGGTGAGAAGCTGCACTCCATGGAGTTGGATTGGATGGCCCTTGTGGTCTCTTCAACTCTATGCTTCTATGTTCCAACTGCCATAGCCCTGGCTTTTGAGGGAAAGAAGAGTAGCCAGTCACAGCTCTACTGAGCCTTGGAGCAGAGGATCCTATTCTAATTGTCTCATTACTCTGAGGTAAGAAAGAACACAGTCACAGCTCTATTATGTCTTGGTCCAGTGGCTGGTGAGATGCCCCTTCTCCATATTTCAACTGCCATCACTTTGGCCTTTGAGGGAGAGAAGAGCAGCTGGCAGAGCTTCATCATGCCTTGGTCTAGTGGATTGTGAGAGGTCCTCCATCCATGTTCCAGCAGCCATTGCTCTGACCTCTGAGGGAGAGAAGAGCAGCCTGGCAGAGCATCATGCCTTGGTCTAGTGCAGGGGTAGGGAACCTTTGGCCCTCCAGCTGTGGTGGACTTCAACTCCCACAATTCCTTGAGGCTCGGCATTGGGCCAAGGTAAGCCTTTGGGGCGAATGCCGAGCCTCAAGGAATTGTGGGAGTTGAAGTCCACCACAGCTGGAGGGCCAAAGGTTCCCTACCCCTGGTCTAGTGGATGGTGAGAGGTCCTCCAACCATGTTCCAGCACCCTGGCATAGCTTCATCATTCCTTGGTCTAGTGGATGTTGAGAGGTCCTCCATCTATGTTCCAGCAGCCATTGCTCTGACCTCTGAGGGAGAGAAGAGCAGCCCGGCAGAGCTTCATCATGCCTTGGTCTAGTGGATGGTGATAGGTCCACCATCCATGTTCCAGCAGCCATTGCTCTGACCTCTGAGGGAGAGAAGAGCAGCCTGGCAGAGCTTCATCATGCCTTGGCCCAGTGGACAATGAGAGTCCCTTCCTCCTTTGCAATTGCCATCCTCTTGTCCTCCAAGTAACTCCATGATGTCCTAGCTCTAGTGGTTGGACTCCATGGCTCTGACTTTTGAGGGAGAGATGAACAGGTCAGGAACAGCTCCACTGAGTTCTGGACCAGAGGCATATGAGAAGCCTTCCCTTCCAGCCAACAGCCATTGCTCTGGACTGAGGGAGAGAAGAACAGCCAGGCATGACTCCATGAAGCGGTGCTGGCCCCATTTCAGTTGCTATTGTTTTGTCTTCTGAGGGAGAGAAGAGCAGCCATGTACAGCTCTCAATTGAGCCTTGGACTAATGGCTTGTGACAGGACATCTCTCTACAGTCCAACTGCATCACTCTAAGGGAGAGAAGAGCAGCCAGGGCCAGCTCCATTGTGCTTTGGCCAAGCAGATGGTGAGAGGCCCTTCTTCCATTCCATTCCTGATGGGAAGCTAACTAAACTTTGAAGAGCAAAACGAACAACCAGCCTTGTTCTGGGAATAGATTGAAAGCATACTATGTTATCTGAGTGATTGCATATTACCTCTTCTGAGTCTGTGGAAGGCTTCACTTTTCAATCTGAAAGCCCAGAGGAGGGATTGCTTTTCTCATTCGTGACCTCTTCTCTCTCCAGGAAAGCCTCATTAATCATCCTTGCTGCAGATTTACTGTCCTCCGAAAATGCAGATGCCCGGAGCCTGAGAAAGAACAGTTCCCCCAGGCAGGCCTTAAGTGCCTTCAAATGCAAAGAGAAATCATAGAGTTAAAAAAAATAATGCATTATGTGGCCACATACAGACACATACGTTTGCCTACATAATGCAGGCCCTGTGATCAAGAGCTTTTATCAGTATTGTTGCTGAGTTGACAGCATGCAACTACCGTATATACTCGAATATAAGCCGACTCGAATATAAGCCGAAACACTTAATTTTACCACAAAAAAACCCTGAGAAAACATATTGACTTGAGTAAGCAGAGGGTGGGAAATGCAGCAGCTACTGGTCAATTTCAAAACAAAAACTGATACCAATAAAATTACATTAATTGAGGCATCAGGAGGTGAAATGTTTTTGAATACTTATATAAAACTGTAATTTGAGATAAGACTGCCCAACTCTGATTAAATAATTATTCTGTTGTTGTTGTTCATTCATTCATTCGCCTCCGACTCTTCGTGACCTCATGGACCAGCCCACGCCAGAGCTCCCTGTCGGCCGTCACCACCCCCAGCTCCTTCAAGGTCAGTCCAGTCACTTCAAGGATGCCATCCATCCATCTTGCCCTTGGTCGGCCCCTCTTCCTTTTGCCTTCCACTTTCCCCAGCATCATTGTCTTCTCTAGGCTTTGCTGTCTCCTCCTGATGTGGCCAAAGTACTTCAACTTTGTCTCTAGTATCCTTCCCTCCAGTGAGCAGCTGGGCTTTATTTCCTGGAGGATGGACTGGTTGGATCTTCTCGCAGTCCAAGGCACTCTCAGAACTTTCCTCCAACACCACAGCTCAAAAGCATCGATCTTCCTTCGCTCAGCCTTCCCGAAGGTCCAGCTCTCACATCCGTAGGTGACTACAGGGAAGACCATGGCTTTGACTAGGCAATGGATCTTTGTTGCCAGTCTGATGTCTCTACTCTTGACTATTTTATCGAGACTGGACATTGCTCTCCTCCCAAGAAGTAAGCGTCTTCTGATTTCCTGGCCACAGTCTGCATCTGCAGTAATCTTTGCACCTAGAAATACAAAGTCTGTCACGGCCTCCACATTTTCTCCCTCTATTTTCCAGTTGTCAATCATTCTTGTTGCCATAATCTTGTTTTTTTTTATGTTTAGCTGCAACCCAGCTTTTTCGCTTTCTTCTTTCACCTTGATTAGAAGGCTCCTCAGCTCCTCCTCGCTTTCGGCCATCAGAGTGGTGTCATCTGCATATCTGAGGTTGTTAATGTTTCTTCCAGCAATTTTCACCCCAGCTTTGCATTCATCCAGCCCCGCACATCGCATGATGTGTTCTGCATACAAGTTAAAAAGGTTGGGTGAGAGGATGCAGCCTTGCGTACGCCTTTCCCAATCTTGAACCAGTCTGTTGTTCCGTGGTCAGTTCTTACTGTTGCGACTTGGTCCTTGTACAGATTCCTCAGGAGAGAGACAAGGTGGCTTGGGATGCCCATCCCACCAAGAACTTGCCACAATTATTCTAACCTTCTTCAATGTAAATGTACTTATGTATCTTTCCAGCAATAATAAAGAGCGTAAAATAATAAATGTAATAATAATAATAATAAAGTAAAATAATGGAATTGCAATATTAACAGTAATAATAGAGTAAAATAATAAATGCAATAATAATAAAGTAAAATAATGGAAATGCAATAATAACAGTAATAATAGGGTAAAATAATAAATGTAACAATA